GTAGGATTTTACCATCAATGATTTTAAACGCAATATTTACATCAATATCATCAAATTGCGACGTTTTTTGTCTAAACCAGACTGGGCATGATTCCAAAGCCCAGAACTCAATACTATACCCAAACAATTATAATAAGAAACAACTTCTAGTTTATGTTATTTAAAGCTACCATTGCTCATTTGATTTCAATCTTCCCCCACGCCTAAATACCATTACTTTAGATTTATCAATATTAACTTTTAGTCTCCATTTATTTGCATAGAGATCCAGACTATTCAGAAGACGTTGTAAACCCATAATGAAAGAGCTAAAAACTGTCAAATCATCTGCAAATAACAAATAAAATAATTTTATAGGCGTTATATAAACTCCGGCGTGGCTGTGTTGTATTGATTCGCCAAGATCATTTACAGAGATATATAATGGATTATACATAGATTATACAATGAGCAAACGACGCCGGGATACGGCACCATAAAGAAACAAACCCGTCTTTAGACCCCGATATAATAATGGGATACTATCACGGGGTAATTCTTCTCCTCTGGGTTTCTCCACACTTGTCAGGGGGGAATCTCTTCTCTGCCTCTATATCTCGTCCCCTTGAGGTGCGGGATCGGGAAAGTCACTTAACTTTACAGTCAAATAAGACACACACAACGAAATACGTTTCAACTCTCGTCTTAGTCGGTCATTCGAGCACTCTATAAGACACAGCGCCCTGAGGAAAAGTCCCCAAGACTATCGCAAGGCTGACCCAAGACTCGCCCAAGACTCTCCAGGACTGGACTTAGACTGTGTCTATCGTGGTGTACTTGCCAAGACCAACTCAAACTCTCTTTATTCATTTTCAAAACTCTAACCAGTTACAATGCAGTAAAACGATTCTAAGGCGTAACCTTCAATCATAAAGCCAATCATACTAAGCACTGAACACGTCATATCTTTTGATTAATCGTTCACTACATTAATAACTAAGAATACCAACTGTCAGAATGAGTAGTCTGAATAGCGACGGTTATCTCGTAATCAGTTCCAAATCACTGAACCAAGTTCCATCCAAAACTTCAAATAGGCCTAAACGATGACAGACATAACACAGCAATTCGCTAATAATCAGCTAATTAATTCGGTCAACAGATACGCAAAAACAAATTCATGACAGTACTATAAATGTGCCTGAAGTCCTAATTGAGTATAGTAGATGCAGTGAACAAACAAAATCAATCACAAATTATTCCCTAAACTGTCACTTCGATTAAATGAAATTATTCAAAGAAAAAAAGTGTGAGTACTCACGTTTGCAATTGTATTAACCAAAACACTCAAAGTGTAATGTAATATGGATACACGATAGTTGCTGAAAAGAGCGACATGAAGTTTTATGAGATAAGGGTGGCAACTGTGGTATTCCTGTCTCTCCTTATATACTATCACGTACTTAAGGTAGGGAGACTATTATTTGTGTTGAAAATTACGATTTTCACATTTATTTATTAATTGATGAAATGCACCATAAACTTTCATATGATAAAGTCAATATAACATAGAATGTCATGTAAGTTGGTTAAAATGTAGATTTTCTGAAGGGAAGCAAGGCAGCCTCAGTAGTGTTTTCCAAAATCAACAACACAGGTTTAATCTGTGTGCCTATAAGTTTCAAAGATAAACTCAAGACAA